GAGAGAGAGAGAGAGAGAGAGAGAGAGAGAGAGAGAGAGATTGGAACTGAACAGGAAACTGGTGATGATGGAGGGGTGGCCTCTTTGTTCATAGGAAGTTGAAGGATGACTCTTTTAAACACAAGGAGGAATGGAAAAAGGAAGCTCCGGTTCTATTATTTTTTCTGGTTGTTATTGCTTCTCTTCCGTAGTTCTTTGTCATTAATGCTGTGATTATACTTTTCTAGAGCCGAGGGTTTACCGGAAACAGCCACTCTACCTTCACAAGGTAGGGGTAAGGTCTGCCTACATACTACCCTCACTTGTGGGAATACACTGGGTATGTCGCTGTTGTTGTTGTTGTTGTTGAGGAAGGGGAAAGGGGGAAATTTCCAGGTTGGACCAGAAGAAGGTGACACATGCCATTGGAATAACAGACTTGAGAGGAGGCAATCTGAGCAGCAGTAATGGCAAGTCACCAGTTGATGTTGTTCAAAGTGGAAGTGCTGACTGCTGACAAAGCAAACAACTGGATCATGTATGTGGTCCAAATTGTGACTGCCTTCTTTTTCCCTTTTTTTTTTTTTTTTTTTTTTTTTTTTTTTTGACAAGGTAAGATTTTATTGATTTATAGCACTAAGGTGGTAGTGCTATAGAAAATTTAAAAAAGAAACAGAGACTTTGTGTTGTGGGGGAACATCAGAGTCCGAATGTCTCTTCAAGGATTTGAGGAGATAGCGATATAACTTTATCTGAGATAGAACAACAATGGCAAAAGGTGATTTGTTGAAAAGGAGATGAGGGGTTTGACGAAGATAAAAATAAAAAAGGTAATGGAGTTAAAAAATTTGCAAAGCTCTACCGATTAAGATTCACATGAGTAGAACGGGAGACAAAGTAGGGAGAGTTTCTTATAGAGACTAAAACAAGAATTGAGGGAAAGGAACCCAGCGAAAGGGCCACCATAAAGGTGATGTTGAGCGAGTGAGGAGCAAGGTTAGTATGTCTGCAAGAAACAAACGATTGCCTTTGTAAAAGTTATACGAAAACTGACTAAGAGGTGCCTCTAACATACAGCATACTGTTTACAATTAATAATGACCAGGCACGATGACTTTACCAAGATTAAGTCTTCTAGTAACTGATTCCAATTCCTTAATCCATGGCAAGACAAGTTATCACAGGAAATTAGCAGTAATTAGAGAAGAATTAGCAGAATAGCAAGCTATTCTACAGGACGTACCATAAGTACAAATTACAAGGTGTGCAAGAAAGAATATCAACTTAAACAGCAACATGACGTGTTTCCTACCTCAAGATCAAGTAATGGTGGACCACTTTCTGACAGTAATGAGGCGTTTAATACATTATGGAGGCTACAAGTTGCTACAAAGGCCACATCGTGATCCCTCTTGTACCTGAAAAATTGTAAGCTTTCGCTATTACAGAGCCCACAATGCCCAAGAAGATACAAGAAACAATTGCTCCACAGAAAGATTGTCACTCGCATTTCTAACTAGAAAATAGAGAATTAGCACAAGCAAGGAGCTGGCCATTTGATATCAGAGGTATTCACGTCATTTGCAATTATAGATTTTCTCAAAACATAGCAGTCTATCGTATGTCTTACAGTTCCAATATAGTTGGAATAAGTCTTGGCAAAGCTGCCTTCAGCTGCGTTCTAGTAATAAGACCAACCATCTGCCCTAATGCTTCCACAGAAGATAAGCGAACCTGAGAAAATAGTATGTCAGGAAACAAAACTTCCTCTCCCCTTGCCAATTCAAAATGAGCAATAAATGTAATGTATGGAATGGAAGGAAAGAAAAAAGGAGTGTGAAACTTCTTGAATATATTTTTTCAAGAAGGCAACAATTATATTCTTCAGCACCCAAAAAACAGAGCTGGTATCTAACATAAATTTCTTGAATATATTAGTAAGTGTGCTTCATCTCAGTAATATATAGCTGCTTTCACTTATTAATATAAATTTCTTAAATATATTAATAAGTGAAAGGCTGAAAGCAGCTATATATTACATGCTGAGATGAAGCACCCTTAGCTATTAATTGTTCGACTAGTTTCAATGTGATTTTACATCAAACTTGTACAAAAGCATGAAATGGAAGGAAATTAAATTAAAGACGACCATCAGGCAAGCTGCCTTCAATATCCCATGGCCTCTGAACTTCATCCACAGTGCATTTGCGGCACAAGGTGAAAATGGCCACTCACGAATTCAACTTGTTACACCACCTTAACAAAAGAAAATTTATTACCTTATCACAAAAAGATCTTAGCATCCAGGAATAATGTTTATTCTGTTCCCTTCAACCCCTTCACCCATTCTGCCCCTGCTTCACCTTCATTTCTCATTTCATCTCATACACCACAATCTTCTCGTTATCTTCTTTCTTCCACCTACTCTCTTCCTACCCTCCCTCTTGCCATCATTTCATCACACTTGCTCTACTAGCTCTTTGTTTACTATCTGTAAGCACTTTATGATTTAATCCTAAAAACCCTCATGGGAAAACCCCTGACAATTACCCGAACCCCAGAGTTTGTCCTCCCACTCATTCCATTACCCATTTCTCCTTATACGCAACTGCCAAAGATTAACTATTCTCCACTGTCTCTTCTCCCCCAATCATCCCTTAGCATTTTCACCTTGGTCCTCCTCTCCCTCTTCTTCTAAGCATTCTCGCCCTTCTGGAACTGTCACAATATCTCGATGAGATGACTTTTGAGACTACCTTTCTCCCCTTATTTCACATTACCAATGTCATAGTGGCTTCGACACCATGTTTCAAATTGGAACGAAAGGAGAAACTTTGGGAGATAATATTTACTTTTATTGAATTGAAATGCTATCGATTTATTGATAAAATATGAGATACACCTATTTATATTTGTAAAATACACAATAGTAAATACATAAATGTATATCAATCCAACTCAAAAAAAATGGAGGGTGATACATTTATTGCACCGCACTGAATGTTGACTTTGACTACAGTCATCTCCATGAAAATACAAGAACATACCTTAAAGTCCTTATTGATATTAGCCCTCTGTTGGTATTTACTAAAAAGTTAGCACCAAGGTTTTCGCAAAATTCAGAAAATTCACCTAACAAGGAAGGTAGTTTTCCTCAAACAAAAGAAATTGACCTCAGCTAAAAGTGCTTTAAAATGGAAGCGAAGATGGTCATAACACTTGATCTGCCATCACGATGAAACTTCCGTAGAATTTAGAAGGTTTAAATTTTTTTTAGAAGGAACTTAGCTATACTTCTAACAAGTAAAAAAAAGAAAAATATGGATGAAGGCAGCTAACCACACATAAAGAGAACATTCTTTTAGGTCTAGTGATAAGAGCACAACTCGTGATTAGTAGAGGTTAGGTGCACGTCACATATTCGAAGCTTGCTGCAGATAATAGCCTGGTATTTAAGTGGAGAAGAGTAGAGGGGTGGGCTCATTATCCATTGAGCTTCAAACCGTGTTCCATTCGCCATGGAAATTTCTGGGTTANGAGGAACTGAATAGGCAAACCTTCAGATCCCGTGAAATTGCCCAAACTCTCAATAATAGTTCAAATGCCGAATTCAAGAAAGACCTGCACAATTGACACATTTAAATCATAATGAACAGCTAAATGAAAATCCTTGAAGAAAATCAAAACCAACCAGAAGCAGCAAATTGGTCTCACATGATATCAGCATCTAGAACTGAAGACAAAGGGAAGTCGATACTGCACTGCCAGCAAGATTGGCACCAATATTTGAATGCTGGAAAAAATAAAAACTTTAGACCCTTCAACGAAAACAAAGGAAATACTTGAGCAGTAAAGTCTAATCATAAAGCAAAACATTTTACTAGAACAACTTTTCTCATGGATAAACTGAGTTCGTGAGTTATATCCCTCTTTACCAATCATGTGCACTGATGTGAACTTTGAGATGAACAGAAGCTACACACAAGAATTTCAAATGTAGAGAAGAACAATGTTTATGGCTTTTACTCAAAAAATATTTAGGGGCAGTTTTCACAACACTGTGCCATTACTTTCCTCTTGCTTTATGAATAAACCTTTTTAAAAGGAAAAAGTGGTGCAAACCTCACAGATTGATTTCGCAATCATAAAACTATACTCCCTTTGTTCCAATTTATGTGGCAACATTTCCTTTTTAGTTTGTTTCAAAAAGAATGGCAGCTTTCTAAATTTGGAAACAATTTAACTCATACTTCCTATTTTACCCTTAATGAGAAGCTTTTGTAGCCACACAAATATTTATGGCTTGTTTTAGACTACAGTTTTAGAGGTCTTCCTTTCTTTCTTAAATGCGTGCCAATTCAAATTTTGCCCCAAAATGAAACGGAGGGAGTATTCGATAGCGGTATTTAACAGCCCAAACTACTGGCTTAGAGGTCAACACCTTGGACCTAAAAACTGGTATTAGAGCAGGTAACTAGTTCGACTCCCGTTGCATGCATCCAGTCTAGTGTTGGGCAATATAAAAATATTTTCATGCTCATAAAAAACGAAGCAACCAAAAAAAAAAATGTTGGTAAACACAGTAAAGAACATCCTTGAATGGAGCAAATCCAAAGAAAATTCTCTCCCCAATGTTAGCCTCTCATGCCATCACAAATTTTCTACAGATTTTCTTTGCCACTGCCCACCTAAATTTTGTAGTCTCCACTACAGAAAATCAAAAGAAAACTATGTTGCACGGACTCTCCAAAGTACTGCTGCACCCGTGTCGAATCCTCCAAAAATACACACTACTTTTGGAGGATTCGGCACTCACCTGGCGACATTTTCGGAGAGTCCAACCAACATAGAAAGAAACCCCCTTAAATTTGTAGTCTCCTCTACAGAAACCAAAGAAACCGGAAGAACCCCCAATCCCATCAATGGCTCACAAATTGTTTGTCAACAGATTAAAGGGATAGCTGTTATCCCCTTTTTCTACGAACCCTTTCTTCATCAAGAGCCATTTTCAGTCCAGCTTCACTCCCTTTCCCCTTAGCGCCTCACCTTTTGTAGGCTCCACCTCCTCAGAGCACATAGGTGTTATCTCATGGCTACCACAATCTCAGACAATTGCAATTAGGAGAATGTCATCAGAAAAAATTAAAGAAAAGACAACTCTCTCTCGTCCCCATCGGCGCCATCACTGGCTCATACTGTTCCTTCTCTTCAGGAATTGCCAGCCAAGCAAACTTTACCAACTTCAATGACAAAAGGAATGACTAACAATTTACATAAAAATAATCTTCAACCAGATGTATTCCCAAACTGAAAATTTAGAAGTTATAGCTTCCGCGTAGTAAATTCTCCTATTTCTTCTGTTAGGAGAATGACATATTTTGCTAATCTTTTTAGAAGGATTATTTTGCTAATAATGAGCAAGAGAAAGCTCTATTTGATCTGTTAGAGCATAAAAAGTTCTGAGGTCTATTACCATTTGCAAATATAGGCCGGTGTATGTCCCTCACATTTCCAAGAATGGGCACCACTTGTGCCAGTACACCCTTAAGGTGAGGAGTAAACTGCAAAGCTTCAAATATTGTAGACATAGATCAGATAAGTAATTTGAGTAATAACGTTAAAGCGACCCACAAAGTATTTGCAAACAAATCGAAAACGAACCATCAGATGATGCAAAGTCTGCAAGAATTTGAACCATGGCTGGAAGAGCTGAATTTGACCCTGAGAGATGGAGGAATATTTCTTCCATCATCTGCCACGGATAATTGATGAATTAAAAACCAAGAATGGGGAAGCTTCAGAGTATCAAAGACCAAGAAGAAAGAAAGAGTGTTGGACACACAATTATCTATCAAGGAAAAGAAGCATTCATCTTTGAATTTTCAATTACCACAGAATGTACAACCTAGTATATATCATCTCGTGATGAAAAGAACAAAACACTCCCCAGCTAAAGAAAAATAACTTCTACCACAGCAGTCTACTCAGAGAGTAATGCATAAACAAATGACAGTTGGATTTTTTATGATTGCCAAGTGTAATGAGCCAGCCAGAAAGGAACTTCATATGGTCTCATCGATTGTAAGCGATTCAATGTTTTAGTTACCATAAAGGAACAAACATGCAAAACTCCAATTATGACAACAACAAAAAAAAAAAAAAAAAAAAAAAAAAAAGTGTAAAATCACAAGTGGGGTCTGGAAAACTCCAATTATGAGATTTTTGAAAAATAGTTTTGCAAATGAAAATATATGTAGTCTGGTCACAGCCTCCCCATTTATTTCCTCTAGTCAAAGTCAACCCATGATATCACTATAAGAGCAAACTAGTTCAACCATCAAATAAATCCACTTACGTGGAGTCGTTACAGCAATAGTCTTCAGCTACTTATCTAAACAAACCAACTGCTACCGACTTATGTTCATGGAAAGCCTGTCGCTATCCAAATTATGCACTTTGCTCTTTTTCCATTTAGAATGGTTCATCCCCTCCCAATTTCCATCCAACTATAATAGTGTGATTCATTTTCTTTATATAGGGGGGTAAATTACATATCTATATCCAGTTATGTCACTCGAGCTTGTGAAAGAAGTTGAGCATCCTACCCAAAACCTTAGGACTGTTTTTTTGTAATCCCCTTTATGTATAAATGGAAGTATCCCATCTCTAACATTTTAAACTTTTAGATGAAGTGGTTCTACAACTCTCCATGGTATTAAAGTACATAGAGGTACTACGTTCGAGTTTCATCGCCACCCATCACAAAATATTTTCACACGTTTAGCTCAACAAAAGGAATCAGGTCTGGACGTGATAGGCCAAGTTGTAGATCTAAAATAATTAAAAAAGTGACCCCTCTCTTAACACATTAAACTTTAACACGAGGTGATGCACATAACTCAACAGAGCTAATATGAAAAGCATTGAGCAATTCAGGAGCTTCATGACACCTTTTTGGTAGTTAAACTGAAAATTCCTCAACTTACTGCTTGCAAGCTATGACAAAATCAACTCCTCCACAAGGCTCACAATTTCTCAATACTTTCAGAGATGCTATTGACAGTCATACAAATAAGAAACAGGAATGATAAAAGATATGTTTACAAAAACAACTGAAAGAAGATGTAACTTAGAAACTAACCAAACAAAAGAAGATATAAATTAGAAAGCACAGATTACATTCCCTCTTCTAAAATCTATTTTCATAAGGGGGGAAAAAAGGCAGACACTCACCAGATCAGGCATATGTGAACCAATTGATACAAGTACACCTGCTGCAGCTCTTTGCCAGTCAGCGTTAAGTTCCTATCATGAGATCGAACTAGCTGTTACAGCAATATGAATACTACCAGCATTGCGCAGGACATAAAGGAAGTAAAGTTGACTCCCATTATGCAAATAACAAAGTACTGATTCCCACACCAACAACATGAACAAAGTACCGACTACCACACCAATCTAAATCATGGTGGACAAAACCAATAAATCCACAATAAGGAAACAGGAAACTAGTACTTATTATCATTACAAATCCAGCCAATCCTCGGAAACAAACAAACCGGTGTACAAAACATCACATCCGATATTCCCATGTTGTAACATTATAACTTGACGGTATACCAAATAATCAATCTCCAACTCTAAACTGCCACATTTTGATTCCTAGGACATCGGTTAGTGACAAACGGATGCAAGGGTCCAACAGCAGGTTCGTCCAAACCCACCTCTTTCTACTCAGCCTCTATATAAATAGTTTGAATTTAAAAAAGGAAATACATATGTATGCTAATTTTGCACCCATTTCAAAAACAAAACTTAAAATTATGGATCCACAATTGGTTTGTGAGCATGGTAACATAGCTACTGCCCGAAATGTTATATCAATTTGTAGCATAAATTTAGTACTCTCTCTATCTCGATTTATGTGACACTCTTTCCTTTTTAGTCATTCAGAAACAATTTAATTTAAACTTCCCATATTACCCTTTTTGATAAAAAGATATAAAGCTATAGAAATGTCTGTAGCTTGTTTATACCACAAGTTTCAAAAGTCTTTTTTTCTTTTTTAAAAAATTTGTGCCCAGACGAACTCCCTCACATAAATCAGGACGGAGGGAGTAATATAGTGGGGTTTCCTTTACCTTGGTTGAGATCACCTCAGAAGTGGCAATCTTGGCCAACTTTGCCAGATAATTAGGATCAATATCTCCCTTATCCAGAGCCTGAATTGCCACTGACATCACTTGAAATAAACCAGCTATATTCCCAAACCTCTGAGAAATTTCATAAAATCCCAAATTAAGAACACTACACGCAAACCCAATTGTTCATATAATATCAAATTAATGAACAAGCAAAAATCATAGTTTCAGAACAGTACCCGTCGTCCACCTCTCGATACTGTTAGGCAACAATCAAGAACCAAAAGTGGGTTTCTGAAAGAACAAAAAATAATAAACTCAAAAGTAAACCCAGAACAGTTAAAAACAAGTTCTTGAAACCTTTCAAGCAAGGCAAAATACACATACGCACACACATAAATATTACTCCCTCCATTTCAGCTTATGTGTCTTACTTTCCTTTTTAGTCTATTTCAAAAAGATTGCGACTTTCTATATTTAGTAACTCTTCAACTCTAACATCTTACATTGCATGATTAAGACCATAAGATTCGAAGAGCAGTTTGGTACATTATACACATTTTTAGTTTAAGACACAAATTTCAAAAGGCTTCCTTATTTTCTTAAACTTCCTGCCCATCCAAACTAAGATACATAAATTGAAACAGAGGTAGTAATATATATACATAGGCAACAATCAAGCAAGGCAAACACACACACATACACACAAAAGGCGGAGCTACAAGGCCTAATACGAACCTGGTAGCTTTTGCTCAAACATTGTTTTTGTGTTAAAAGGTTAATTAAATATGAACAAATATTAAATTTAGAACCCAGTTATTAGCACTTTAAGTAATTGTTCTAAAATTTAGAACCCATAACATTGAAATCATGGCTCCAATCTATACGAAAGAGACATACAAGGAAGTGATGTCCTTGAGAGCAGCCATTGATGCTTCACGTACAATAGGAGAATCATCCGCCAATGAAGATACCAGAACTTGAACTGCCTCTATAAACAAAACACCAATTTAAATTTAAAGAAAAATTAATAAATCGAAAGCCAAAAGAAAATGAAATTCGAATTTGAATTGCTATGTAGGAAAAAGGGGTTACCGGCGGCAGGAACGGAGTTGCCGGAACTGGAAGACGCCATTAATTTAGGATGGGGATCGCCAAAAGAACAAAGGAAAGAAGGAAAGACCCCAAAAGGGAATATAAAGAAGGTACAACGACAAAGAAGCAAACAGGTTGTGCCAAATATTTGTAAATTGCCAGATGTTTACGTTGTTGAAAGTTGGCGTGTCGAGCCCGAGATGTTCACTTTTGGAACTGATTTTACTGTCCGCTGACGTTATAAATGTTGTCAACTGCTAAAAATTATTGCGTTGAAATGCATTTGAAGAAATGCTTTATTATAACCGTTCATTTTCTTTATGATGAGATCATTTGAGGATAACACTTTAATTGATATCAAAATTTAAATGGAAGGGCTATTAGGTATATACTTTGCGTTAAAACTCTAAGACTCATTTTGTATAAGGGATAAAGAATAATTAATTCAACTAAATAAATTTACAGTATAAAATTTTGAAATTAGTTATGCCTGAATTATAATGTTATTTTTATTCTTGTGGAATGGTAAGATAATTAATTGTGGAGCAATTTGTTTCCCAACCAAATGACCCCTAATATTGTTATCATATTTCTATTTCTTGGATACTAGGTTATCCCCTTTGGGATAACTATTGAAAGAACGGAATTATATTGATGAAAAAGACGACTCTAAAATTTGGTTTAAAAAATGTTGTAGAAAATAGAAAGGAAAAAAAAATGAAGACAAACCACATAAGTTGTGCATAAAATGGAAATCATAGAATTTCAGGAGCTTAACTAATAGTATCCACCAACAAAATAAAGGGAAAAATGTCATTATTGCCCACGTTTGTCCTCTGTTTTACTTTACGTCCAAAACCTACCATACGGTTAATAAAGTTGATGTAATTGCCCCTAACCCTAACGGATGGTCAATGTGGCAGCTGACCCAATCCATTTTTTCCACGTCAACTGCCAAGTCGGCTTTCCATTAAGTTGAAAGCCCAAATTCGACTCCCAAATTAGATTGACCCAATTTCACTCCCAAAATTTTGACCCCTAACCCAACGTCTTCTTCTTCTCCCCCAAAAGATATTTCATTGCTAAGAACTTAGGGTTCGACTTAAATCTTCCCAATATTTCTCTTTTCTTCATTCTCGATGTATCTTTGGTTGATAAATATCGCAAGGTAGTTGTTCATCACAAATTAGGTGTCGATGTGGCATTATAGCCAACCACTTCACTTCGTCTACTCCATATAACCCCGGAAGAAAATTCTACAAATGTCCAAGGCCTAAGGTTGTTTAATTTCAGTTTTCTCTTCTTCTTTTTTTAAGTTTACTGTAATTATGAAATCTACAAGTTTAGAGTTTTGTAATGATTAGCTAAATGATCTTTTTGAATTATGTTTGATAGCCTAGTTCATGAGGTTTTTGGGAATGTGATGAAATCTTCCCACAAAGTGATTGGACTAATATTAAAGATGTAACATCGTCGATGGATGAGGTTAAAATGTAAAGGGACAAATTGAAGGAAGAAGTAATTGCCATGAAGGTTATACACCAATATGAAGTGAATAAAGTCATCAAGTTGGTAGATAAACTTGCAAAGACAAGGATGCTGCTTATGATTTCTTGGGGATTATTTCTCATTTTTTTGCAGTCTCGATGATGAAGTGACTTTTTTGCAAAGACAAGGTTGCTGAATTTGAGTTATATATGTATAGCTGACTTTTAGGTCAATTAAGCCATGTTGTAGGAGTATTTGTTGCTATAGTAGTATTTGTTGCTTTCCAGCCATGTTTTGCAGATTTGATGATGTTGGTGTAGTAGTATTTATTGGTCAGTTTTTTCCCTTAGTGTATGATGATGTTGGTGTAGTAGTATTTATTGGTCAGTTTTTTCCCTTAGTGTATGATGATGTTGGTGTAGTAGTATTTGTTGCTTTCCCTTACTAGTATATGTTATGCATATTTGATTGTTCTAAATGGCATGTTGAATAACTAAGTCATTTAATTCCTTTCAATCCAATTCATTTGACATAAAAGACAGAAGCAAATGTAAAAATGAAAAACTTATATTCCGGTCGTAAAAATGGATAACTGAAAAACTAAAATTAAAAAGGGAACAAAATGGACAACAATGAACTGAACATTCATCAACAAATATTCACCTTGATTCATAATGTACCAACTATCAACATTCATAAAGTGTGTTTAATAAGACAACTGGATACCATATTATAACCCCAAAAAGATGTCAACACCTAGTTATAATATGGCAACCAATTGTCACAACCAATGAACCACAACCAAAATATGAAGTTTACTATCATGGCAATAATTACAACACTTCCAAAAATTTTACATCATAAAAGTTCACTAGAAGCAAATTTCCATCACTTATGCTCCTTACCACTACTCTTTCTTGCTTGCAACTTGGTCAACCTTTGTTTGTTTAACTGATTTTCAGTGATGGCAGAATTTTCCAGCCATGTTATGCCTTTTGCTAAGAAAGTAAGCTTCGGTGGTTGACTTACACCGCTTGAATCACCAACAAATCCAATTTGCATGGTTGCAACTGGTACACTTTGCTGCCTCAGCGGGAGTCTTGTCCTTGCTTATAAGATACTCTTTAGTCTTATAGTTATGTCATGCTCAGGTTCAAAGTTAGGGATCTCAACATCTGGACATTTATTGCTAGTTGGAAGCTACCTTTGAATTGCAGGGGTTTGCATAAACACAAAGTTGCTAGATTCACTAGCTTAACTGGTTTGACTTGGCCGGGGTGCTGATAAATGGAAGTCATTTTCAGTTGGGATATCTGTAGCACCTGGGGATATAGATTGTTCATCATCAGGTTCATCAACCAAAGTTCTTTGTTTTTGTTTCTATTTTTCCACCTATTGGTTGTTTTCCTTTAGAGTGCTATTATCAGCATACATAATTATATGTTAGAACAAGGTAGAATAAAATAGAAGCTTAAATTTATTGTTCAAAAGATATATTACCTTGGCACATCTCCTAGCATTATGTCCAGGTTCTCCACAACTATTACATGCCATTACTCTCCCTTCCCTGGACTGAGACCATTGCCCTTGCCTATTAAGGGACTCATTTGTCTCTCTTGTTCTTTTTACTTTTGGCCTGCCAGCCATTCTTACAAACTCATGTCATTCCATATTCTGCGAGGGGTCTATCTTCCAGAACTTTTCTCCTCTTACAGGTTGTAACTTATGAGAATAAGTTTGTAGATATGCCTATTTGTAAAGGTACTAGTGAATCTCACTTAAAGGGTCAACCTTTTTGTACAATAGGGCACGGATTACATGAGGACATGGGATTCCACAAAGGTCCCATGTCCTGCAAGTGCATGTTTTTGCCCCCAGATTCACAATGTGCCTAGCATTACCTTCTGTCACTTCATAACCTTGGTCAGCACTGCCATTCACATGACACTTTTGTGCAATCCTCGTGAATTGGTTATACAAATTTATAGTCTTGGACTGTATTCACTTCCCCACCCCACCACTTCAGCTTTATTATCAATCAACATATTCATAACCTTGATTCTCATCTCCTCTAACATCTTTATAATTGGCTTGTGTCTGGCTTGCAATATCCATGCATTGAAGGACTCAGTCAGGTTATTATCCACTGACTAGTTCTTGCAGGTAGTATCAAAGAATTTCCTACTCTAGCAAGTAGGTGGATACTTTAACAGATCTTCAACAGCATCCTTACCATCATCATCCACTTCACTCATACTCTTTAACTGATCTTGGAAGTCCTCTTCATATGTACTCCAAGCAGCCACCAAAGATATTTCTTGTATTCCCCAGACCCCATCTCTTGCACCAGTTTGCTTATATGTGTCTTACACAGAATCTGTGGTGGGCCTCTGGAAGAACTCATGAGATTGAATCAATCAGCCCCTGCATATAAAGTAAAGAAGAATTAAAATCTATATATACAGATTGATAAAATAATAAAATAATTGTAACGACCCGGCCGATTGTTTTGAGAGTAATAGCCCCAATCCCCTATTTACTGCTTCTCCCATATCTATTTCTGCTATTGTGACTTGCCATGAGGTTTCGTTTTAGTTTTTGGAATATTTTGGGACACTTAGTCCCTAAATGGAGGTTTAAGCCTTAGGATTTGGATCGTAGTCGGAACTGTGTGAAGACGACTCTGGAATAGAATTCTGTCGATTTCGTTAGCTCCGTTGGATATTTTTGGACTTAGGGGCGTGTCTGTATTGTGTTTTGGAGGTCCGTAGCTTATTTAGGCTTGAAATGCCGAAAGTTAAATTTTTGGAGATTTTTGGCCGCTAGTGGTCTTTTTGATATCGGGTTCGGATTCTGATTTCGAAAGTTGGAATAGGTCCGTAATGTTGAATATGACTTGTGTACAAAATTTGGGGTCAATCGGATGTGGTTTGGTTGGTTTCGACATCGGTTGTCGAATTTAGAAGTTTCAAGTTCTTTAAGTTTGAATCGGAGGACGATTTGTGATTTTTAGCGTTGCTTGATGTGGTTTGAGGGCTCGACTAAGTTCGTATGGTATTTTAGGATTGGTTGATATGTTTGGTTGAGGTCCCGGAGGCCTCGGGTGAGTTTCGGGTGGTTAACAGATTTGGAATGGAAGTTGAGAAATTTCTGAAGTTTGGTCTTTTGCTGGTATGATCGCACCTACAAGGGTATTAGTTGCAGGTGCGAGGCCGCATGTGCGGAAGGTTGAGCGCAGGTGCGGAAGGGGTGGAGATCAGCATAGGTCACATGTACGATGGTTTCTCCGCACCTGCGATAGTGCATATACGAACCAGTGGTCGCAGAAGCGGAGGCAGTTAAGGTTAGTCATTGTCGCAGGTGCGCCCACATTTTTGCACCAGCGGGCGAGCAGGTGCGAGCCCAGGCTATGCAGGTGAGGAAATGCCTGGGAGATCCTCCTCTACTGCATATTTACTGTAGGACTACGGAACGGTATTTCGGGAGATCCCCCTATCTTGCATATTTACTTTGGGACTACTGAACGGTATCTCGGGAGATCCCCTGTTGTATTTATGTGTATTGAGTTGTTACCTTCTATAAATTCTTTCTTGTTAAATTTCAGTCTTTATTTTACTGCGATATTTCATTTTTGCCTTGCTTTATTATCATATTCCAGTAGGGCCCGGACCTGACCTCGTCACTACTCTACCGAGGGATACTAGTTTCCTTCTGTAGCT